ATGTTTTGAAAATGCCTTGAGTTCAAAATTTAAGTAGAAAGATATGTTACTTTGGAGAACAGCTTTTACTTTTGTTTCAACAGGAAAAGAGAGGCTATGGATTTATTTTTGATTAAAAAAATGTGTTTGATTAAGGAAGATGCCTTAATAAATCTCTGATAGCTGTGCATGTCCCAAAAGTCTGAGTTCTACATCCAGAACAGCTTCAAGACTACTGATTGAAATCATCAAGCCTCCAAGAATATTCTAGGCAGGATTTGGCCATAATTCTAAATTTTCTTTATGTCTCTATAAGATAACCAGTGCTCCCAATCAGCAGGAAGTAGCTGGAAAACTATTTCAACATTCCCAAAAAATGAATTATGGATGTTTTCCTGTTTAGTGTCGTAGTATCAAGCTGTTATACTTACTATTCAGAAAGAAAGTGAAACAAAGGAGATTAGATTCTGAGTTCTTGTTTGAAGACTAAAGGGGAACTCCTTTGGACAATTTTCTTTCACCCTGCAAAAATTTGTCGCTTGTATTGTTTTAATAAAGTTCTGATTGGCCAGTAGAAAGGCAGGAAGAATAGGTGTGTTAATGAGAGCAGAAGAACTCTGGGAAAAAGAAAGGCTCAGTCTGCAGGCATCTCCCAAACACAAGGAAGACAGATGAGAATGCCTAACTGAAAATGTAAGATTTTAGACAATTCTGAAGTCATTTCTGACAATTCTAAACCCTCTCAGCCTCTGTGTCTCAGTGCTTCCCCTCCTCCCCTGGGAACCAAGAACCTAACAGCTACACATGCACGTACTCAGTTCCTGAACAATTACCCATCCTCGTATGTTTTGACTCAGTCCCCTGGGAAACGGGCTCAAAATGACCTCTTACCTCATCTGATCTGACAATAGTTCTCCAGTCAATTATTGGTATTAGTCCTTTTCGAATAAGCCAATCATAATGGTCCAGAAACAAGCCCTCTTGTTTCTATGGGGCCTTCTCCTTTAAAAGAAGACTGTACCAGCTATTCGAGGTCTCTTGGCTTCCTGAATGCTGAGGGACCCTGTCATGACAGAATTAATAAAATCCTCATGCTTTTGCATTGACTGTGGTATATGAGGTTGTCTCTGGGGGCGATTCCTTCTCGGGTTGGACACTAGAGTCCAACAATAAAAGGTTCCAAGCCACATAACTAACATAGACAATGATTATGGGTTAATGTAAGTTTTAAGAGATAATAAGAAGCCTGATCTAAAAGGCAGCCAGTTTATAAGTAATGGGGTCTTCTGTGTGTTTCTTTGGAACACAGCTGAGGGACTTGGTCCCTCTGGAGGTTGAGGGACCTCTGCCCCAGCAGCAGAATAAAAATTCCTCTTGCTATTGCATCAACCATGTTGAGAGTGTCTCTTGGTGTGACCTACTCCTTGCTTGGGCTTTAGGGCTCAACAACTTCAATTACTCTATTGAAAACCTATGTAGAGGACAACCTTGCCGTTTTCTGACTTTAGTGGAATTGGTTTTATTAACTGCTATTGACATTTTATTTGATTTTAGCTATGGGCTTTTTATATACTGCCTTTATTTTATTGAGGCATATCCCTTTACATATGCCTTATCTCTAATCTCTCCAGGACTTTTATTATGAAAGCTTGTTGAATTTTCTTAAAGGCCTTTTCTGCATCAAGAGACATGATCATGTGGGTTTTTTCTTTCAGATTTTTTTAAGATGGTGAATTGAATATACTGATTTTCTTATATTGAGTTATCCTAGAGCCTCTAGGATGAAGACCATTTGATAATAGTGGATGGTCTTGTGATGTGTTCTTAGATTCAGTTTGAAAATATTATTGAGAATTTCTGCATCGATGTTCATAGGGAAAATATCTATAATCCTCTTATGGGGAGGTCTTTATGTGGTTTGGGTATTAAAATAACTGTGACATCATAAAACAAACTGAGCTATGTTTTATGAACATACAAACAAATTTGAGGAGTATTTCTGCTAACTATTCCTTTAAAGTCTGGTAAAATTCTGTGCTGTCCTTGTGTTCATTTTTCTTTCTTCTTTTTTTGTTTGGGACTTTTATTTATTTATCTATTTAGTTATTTATTTATTTATGTATTTCCCAAGGGGTTATAGGTCTCTGCATATTGCTTACCTTATCATGATTTAATTTTATTAAGTGGTATCTATTGAGGAAATTATCCCTTCAGAAGCAGCATTTCAACTGCATTTTAAGAAATAAAGACTGCATAAAAATTTGAGAGTAAAAGAGTCCCATTGGTCAGCCTTACTAACCAGTTTAGTATGGTAACATACTTGTTGATATCCGGTAGCCACTTATACACAAACCTTTAATCCCAGTAGCAACAATGAAACACACCTTTAATCCTAGAAGCAACATTGACACCAAAGTTAATCCCAGTAGTCCTGTGATATGCACATTTACAGTAGCCACATGAGCTGACATAGATATCAGGTGGTACATTCCTTTAATCATGGTGGTGCATGCATTTATCCCAAAATGATGCTCAAATGTTTCCTCTTACCTCATCTGATCTGGCAACCACTCTTCAGCCAATTATTTGTAATTGCCATTTTAAATAAGCCAGTCATAACACTTAAAGGACAACTCTCAGACATGCCCCCCCTTAGTTCTTTGGCTTTTTCTTTTAAAAGTAGCCTATACAAGCTATTTGGGGTCTTTCTGGTTTTTTTGAATACTGAAAGATCCTGTTGTGACAGAATGAATAAAATCCTCATGCTTTAAATCAGCTGTGGTGTGAGAGATGGTCTCTTGGGGCAACTACTACTTGTAGTTGGACTCCAGGGTTCAACAGAAAGTAGGGTGTGTCACCTGGGTCTGTATAGGTTCCCTGGATCTGTATGGGTCCACAGTAAAGTGTGAGGAGAGGCCACAGCAGCTGGTTGTTTACAGAACTTGGGAGGAGAGTAGGATTGGATACGGAGGTGAGGAGGGAGAGTGAAGATGTGGGGCTCTTCTGGCCTACCTGCTTCTCTGGCACTTAACTGTCTCCTACCAGGATATACCTGCTGGGTTTGGGGGCCAGGGTAACAGGGTGAGTGTGGAAGAAGGGTCGAGGGAAGCATGGGACAGAGGAAGAGAAGGCCACAGCCAGTGGTTTCCTAAGGAGCTGGAGATGGGACTGGGGATTGGATTTGGAGGTAAGGAGGGAGAGTGAAGATCTGCAGTTAACCTTCCTGTTTTCCTGACTGGAGTGGCCTCAGGGATGCTTATTCATACATAATCTAAAGCTTATGTATTTTGCATTTTGCTACCGACCTCCTGCTATCTTCAGACTCTGAACTAGAATGCAAAGATATTCTATACCGGAAAAACTGAATGACACACAGAGAATTTCCTTTGATCATATATGAAATCCTGATATTGAGCAGAGGGCAGTATACTTGTCAAAAGGATTTCTTTGTTAGATGGATATGTTGATAGGATAGTATGCAGAGAGAAAACCCTGCAAGTCAGTTACAGTGCAGAAGTTGCTATGAGTTAGGTGAATGGTATTAAGAAGACAGGGAATGATGAATCTGAGTACTGTACTCAGTCCTCAGGAAAGAGAACATTCTGCAGCATGTCACATTGAAGCATTGTGTGTGTGTGTGTGTACATAAGAATTCTTTGTCTTTAAGATCTATTTTTATGTAATAGTCTAAGAATTGGTTCCTTCTGCTATCAAAAACTGTAACAAAGCATGTCAGAGCACCTGACCTCTCCCCAGTGCTGTGATTTGCTGAGTGTGTTTACAGAGTTGAATTTACAACAACTGTAGAATTGGCAAAGGAGTGCTAGCTTGCTGCTATGCACTCCAAGTTTTGTTACAGTGTTTTTCAGTATGAAATGGATTGTGTTCTATACATTTGAATGTAAGTGTTCAGTTATATATAGCTAAAGTTATAAGATTAAAACTTGATTTTAGATTGTTATTAAGAGCTACCTGGCTAGATTTTGACTGTGTTTCAATTAAGTAACTGTTTGCTAATACTATGAAATTCTGAGACTCTATAGAAAATTTTAGATGGCAGCATAGAGATATTGTGGAATGGTTTGGAATTCTGTTAAGAATTTCCTACCATAGAAATTAATATATCCAATCACTGAGACTAATTAAGGTACTTTTAACTTTCTTCATTGCACAATGATTCAATGGTGAGATTTTTTTAAAGATTTGTGAAAATGCCATTACATAATCCTGTTAAATATTTTCCTAAGTGTATGTATACACGTGCAGCACGAGGTGTGCAGTGAGGAAAAGAGGTCAACTTCAGATGGATCCTCACCAATAGGAGACCTCAGTTAGATTCTGTATCCTTCCCAATCCCAAACAAGCAAGCCATGCTCCTTCTTCCACCATTGGTATTCACACAGCAGAGACCACTGTCTGATTGTCATTCAGACATGCATTTATTGAGGCATTTGTCATATAGAGGTTGGCATGGCTGCCTTCTAAGTATTTACTTGCTGTCTCACAACCAATAAAATTGTCATTAAGTTGTCAATTACAGAATTGACTTCTAGAACTGATGCCTGTGTGAACTGCTGTTGTACATTTAAGAAATTTGACAGCCTTTAGATACATCAAGAAAGTTGAGAGCAAATGCAATTATATATTCTTTTAAAAACGTTTATTTGAAGGACAATCTACAAAGATCATGCTTTCTATCAAAATCTATGATACTTGTTTTAAAAGTAGCTTTAGGCTGGAGAGATGGCTCAGCAGTTCAGAGTTATGGCTGTTCTTGTAGAAGACCCATATTCAGTTACCAGCACCCATATGGCAGCTTATAACTGTCTATAACTCCAGTTTCTGGGAATCTGACACTATTTTTGGTCTCCATGGGTACCAGGCATGCACATAGTGCATATACATACATGCAGCTAGAACACTCATCCATACAAAATAAAAATAATTGTTACAAATTAAAAGTATAATCAGTTTATATATTGTCACTTTTCATAGTATTAGAGAGTACCTTTTGTGCAGGGTTTGGGGTGTGGGAATGAAAGTTTTTGCTCTTAGAAATTTAGGCTCATTTTATTCCTAGGGAAGACACTGCTAAGTATTTTGATAGTTTAGCAGGTTGGGAAAGCTTTGTCACAATTCATGATTTTAGTTAACAGGTAATCCATCAATTTTTAATCTCTTTCTGTCCTTTCCATTCCATTCCATAGGTTGTTTTCAGGAGAGAAGAATTCCTCAAAGGGTGGAGTAATTGATGGCTATCCCAAGCACCAAGAAGAGAAATGTGGAGTTCCTAGGCCCTTTGCTGAGGAATCATAGAGAACTGGACTGGGTCTGAGACGGGATCTAGTCATTACACCTGTCATAGACATAGGAGATTCCCATGAGGCCACTCTGCAGGAAACAGTTCTGGCGGCTGCCTTTTTCTTTTTGTGTTGTTCTTATCTGTTCAGCCTCAACCCCTACACTGCTCCTTGCTGAAGTTAAATGACTCAAGATGAATTCTTGAGGACAAGAATGGGAAGGTGCCATTTTCTACTGTTTTATCAACAAACGAGACTTTTTTTCCAGCAAACTTGAAACCTACATGCTTAATTTTGTCAGGACTTGTAGTACCTCATGATAAAGGCATGACTTTTCAATACAGAATCCGGGAAGAGTCTCTTATTTTGGGCTCAGTGGTGAGAAAGGTTCAGAGGAGCTGTGAGACATTCCCAGGCTTGCCACACAGGGTATCCTCCAAGGTTGAGTTTCAGAATGAAGAGCAGTGGCTGGAGACACGACTCAGACGTTAAGAATGCTTGTTACTCTTTCAGAGGACTGGACTTTGGTTCCCCACATACACATCAGGTGGCCCGCAACTGCTTGTAATTCCAGCTGCAGGGACTTCCAACACTCTCTTCTGGGTTCCGCTGGTATCTGCACACATGCACAAACATGCAGACACATATAAGTAAAATAAATCTTTAGAAATGAAGCTCCCGTGGGCTATTTGTGAGAATGACACAACTTGGAGATAGCTGGCTTGGGGACAAATCTGCACTGTAGTAGGACCTAATGCTGACACGCAATTATTTGGGTCTAGAATTTACTTGGGGAAGCACTCTAGTGTATGCAGTGTTGATGGAGAGCAATTGAGGAGTTGTCAGTCCCTACCAATCCTCTGATGGCTTCACCTATACAGAGAGCCTCAAGCCTGCTGGAGCTGACTCATACACCTCTTCAGTGCCTCTGAGCACTTTACAGACTGACTCTCATCAGTAAGAGAAGACTATGACTGAGTAGAATCACTTATGCGTGATGACTGAATGCCAGAGAGAGGATACAGACTTTCTCAAGACCAAAACATAACTTACATACTCACTTCCAAGGGTGGAACAGGTGAGTCATGCAGCCTTGGTTGTTAGTTATTGAGGCATTTAGGTGTGTTAATTCCTCAGTAAGGTGCCCCAGTAAATAGGGTGCCTGGTTGGAAACAGACTAGCTCATCTTCACAGTGTAGAGACTGGTCTTTTAACCAGACTTGTGGGATCTGTATACACTGCAGGTGATGGTGTTCCTCCAACCTCACTGTGTGGATGTATCAGTACAAGAGTCTCTAAGAGAAGATACAGAAATGATGCTTTAATGTCAGTTAAGTATGTAGACCTGGTTTTGTGGTTTTGCTTGTTTAATCTCTGTTGAAGTGTTATATCTATCCAGGCAGTTAGATTCCTCATAGAACATGCATGAATTCATAAGCCAGAAGTTGGAGACTGCCTTCCACTCACTGCTTTCCCATCCACAACCACCATCCGGTTCTAAGCAAAAATCTTGTTTCATCTGGCTTGGAATATGTGAATGAAATTAAAACTACATTCTTTAGCTTTCACTTGTCAGTGTTCACGAGATTCTTATTCTCAACAGTTGTACATTGTTCTCATGATTGTACAGTATTCCGTTGTGTGAATAAACCACATTATCCAATGGTGTTTTGGTTCATTTCTAACTTGGGAACTGTACTACCACAGTTACCAAGCAAATGGGTTTTTGTGCACATAGCTCTATATTTCCTACTAGGAATAAGATTGCAAAGCCATAGTACATGCACCATATTCATATTTATTGGCAGACACCCAGAACTTTTCAGAGTGCAGTTACCTTACCTTCTTGGTAACACTGCTTGTAGTTTGGATGAGAATAGAGGTTCAAGTATGTTTGAATACTTGGTCCCTAATTAGTGGAGCTGTTTGGAAATGGTTAGAGGCATGGCCTTGGAGGATGTGTGTCACTAAAGCAATGACCCAAATTAATAAAATTAGAGGTGTAAAGGAGGTGTTATAAGAGACACCTGTGAAATCCAGAGGGTTTTAAGGATACACTTCAAAGCCCATATTCTACTAAATTCGGAAAGCTGAGAAAAATGGATGAATTTCTTAATGAATCTGACATACCAAAGTTAAACCAAGAAGATATTTAAAAATTGTAATAAATGACATTGGAACATCATTTAAAAACCTATCTAAAACAAAAGCAAGGTAGAAGCCCAAGTCCAGATGTGTTTACCACAGGACTTTACAGGAAATTCAAAGAGCTAAAACCAATGCTCCTCAAACTGCTCCATAAAACAAAAAAGGAAATTATATCTCCAAATTATTTTTATGAACACTGACTGACACAGATACCTAAACTAGATAAATAAATGAATAGAAAATTCTAGAACAAGCTCCTTCATGAACATAGATACAAAAAATTCTCAGTAGAATATGTGTGAACTGAATTTTAGAAAACATCCAAAATGATAAATCATCTTCATCCTAGAGATGAGGGAATGATTTACACATGTAAGCCAACAAATGTACTCCATCACATAAGTAGACTTAAGGACAGAAATCATATGCAGATGGAGAAAAGAGCATGGAGAAAATCTAAGGTTCCCTTATAAAAGTTATGGAGAATCCAGGGATACAAAGTATAATAAAGGCAATATTCATAAGCCCACAGGCAGCAGTATGCTAAATGGAGAAATCAGGAACAAGAAAAGGATGTTCATCCTCTTACTACTGTTGCCAGGTTGTACTTGAAGTTGTAGTTAGAACAGTAATCCAAGAGAAGAAAGTAGGAGAGCTACAAATAGGAAAGAAGTAAAAGTATCCTTAAAACTCAAGAGTTCACTAGGAAACTATATTGCAATGTGGTTGGATACAAAGAACAAAAATTACTAGTCTTCCTAGATACCAATGACAAACTAAGAAATAAACCAGGGAAACAATTCTGTTCACAGTGGCTATTCTAAGCACCGTCTCTTGGGATAGATCTAATCACAGAGATGACTCAGTGGTTAAGAGCAGAGCCTGCTCTTTCAGAGGTCCTGAGTTCAATTCCCAGCAACCACATGGTGGTTTACAACCACGTGTAATGAGATCTGGTGCCCTTTGCAGGCAGACCACTGTATACTTAATAAATAAATATTTTAAAAAAAGATTAGTATACAGTGGAATCTTAAAAAAAATTAGAGATAGCAGAAGATGGAAAATCTGTCTATACACACTTGTATTTGTAGGATTAATTTAAAAATATTATGCCAAAAGCAATCTATAGTTCAAATACAATCCTCATCAGTTGAAAAGAATCATGTTTCATATGAAACAAACAAAACTAAGATGCCCACACAATCTTGAAAACTAAAAACACTGCTTGAGGTAACACCATAGTAACAAAAAATAGTATGTTACTGGTAGAAAAGACAGATACATTGATAATAGAATAGAATTGAAGATCCAGGCATAAGCTTATCCTTTTTCAGACACCTGATTTTTTTGTTTTTATTAAGAGTCAAAAAATATACATTGGAAAAAGAGGCAGCATCTACAATTGCTGTAGAAAATAGATAGCTAGTTTGTTATCTCTTGTCCTGCACAAAACTTAATTCCAAATGAACTAAGGATCTTGTGGTAGTTTGAATGTAAATCTCCATAATCTCATAGGGAGTGGGACTATTAGAAGGTATGGCTTTGTTGGAATGGGTATGGCCTTACTGGAAGAAGTGTGTCACTTCGGGGGGCAGGATTTAGTTTTCTATGCTCGGGATACCGCCTGCTGTCTCAGTCAACTTCTTGTTGCCTGCAAGATGTAGGACTCTCAGCACCATGTCTGCCTCCACACTGCAATGCTCTCCATAATTATAATAATAAACTGAACCTCTGAAACTGAGTGAATTACTCCAATTAGATGTTTCCTTTAGAACAGCTCCCATGGTCATGGCATCATTACAGCATTAGCAAACCTAACTAGTACAGATTTCAGCGTAAGACTTGATACTTTGAGTCTGTTAAAGGAGAAAGGAAGGAATATATTTCAATTTGTGGTATATTCAAAAAGACTGTCTGAATAGGAGTCTGGTAGCACAGGAATTAAGACTAACAGTTGACAAGTGAGACCTCATGAAGCTGAAAGACTTCTGTACAGTAAAAAACCCTATCTACTGTAGGGGCAGCCTACAGAATGGGGAAAATAAATACTAGCTACAAATTTGACAGAGGGTCAATATCTAGACTATACAACGAACTCAAAAAACTAAACACTAAGAAAACAGACAATCCTGTTAAAGTTCTCAGAAGAAATGCAACTGGTTAATAAGAATTTCTTAAAATATTCAACATCATTGTCTGTCACAAAGATGAAGATTAAGACTACCTTGAGTAGTATAAAGCCTAATCCACAAGACAGAGCTCACGCCTGGTAATAATGTTAACTGTGTCAAGAACCCCTCACTGAATAGATTATAAGCCCTACTATGACCTGCTTTCAATATTCTACTAAATAGATATAGTATCAAACTGCCCTCTAAATACTTATATTTATCACTATAAATACAGGGATGGTTCATTATATGTAAATAAATGTATAATGTACTATATAAAAGAACTCAAAGACAAATCACTTGATTATCTTAGAATAGATGCAGAAAAGACTTTTGAAAAAAACCCAACATCTTTGTAGTAAAATGTCTGAAGATATTAAGAATACAAAGAAACTACTTTAATATAATAAAAGGTATATATGATAAATTTATATTTAGCATTATATTAAATGGGAAAACTTTAAAGAATTTCCACTAAAATCAAAACCAAGGGTAGCTGCTTTTCTTCACATTTATTTCATACAATACTGGAGACTTCAGCTAAACCAGCAAGATAAGGACATAAAAAGGATGCAGATAGAAAAGGGAGAAAAAAATTATCCTGTTTGCAAACTTTTGTATGTAAGAGATCCTAAAGAATCTGGATCCAGAAAGAACACAGCACGGTGGAAGAATGCAAAATTAACATACCAAACCAGCAGCCTTCCTGTACAGCAGTAACAAACATATCAAAAGAAAACCTGGGACACAGTTCCTTTCAAAACAGAAAACAACAAACAAACAAATCCCTTGAAATATACCTATACAAGGAAGCCTGTCTAAAGAAACATTTCTAACAATGACAAAAAGAAATGAAGATTCTGGAAGATGGAAGGACCTCACACGCTCATGGATCAGCACACTGTGAAATGGCTATAATATCAAAAATCAATGTACAGATTCATTGCGATTTCTATCAAATTTTCAATAAAGTGCTTCACAGAAATTTTAAAAAATCATATCACAGAGTCCCTGAATAGCTAAAGCAATATTGAGCAAAAAAGAACAATTCTGAAAGTATCATCATGCCTAGTTTCAAGTTATAATAAAGTCAAACTCAGCAGCACCTTGAAAGAACCACGCTTGGTGGACACGAAATGCTCCATACAGAGGCTATAGCCTGCCAAAGCACAGGGCTCCTCAGCTGGACTGCCGGCCATCAAATCCTGTCAGTGCTTCACAGAGTTAGAGAGAGAGAGAGAGAGAGAGAGAGAGAGAGAGAGAGAGAGAGAGA